TCCTCAGCTGCTTTGCAGAACCCAAACTCGGAAGCTAAACTAGTAAGCGTATTCATATAACTCATTGTAGGACTTTAATTTTATAGGAGTTTGTTGTCGAACCCTCAAAAGGCTCATACTGTAGCCCTACAATACAGCACAAGAATCTACATAAACCTTTGAAAGAGCTTGCAAGAAAGTAAAAATCTGTCATTATCACCTTTATGTACAGCCCCATTAGAGGAAGGATAAAATAATATTCATTTTAGGCAGTGAATATTATTATTATTATTATTATTAAAACTTTATTTTTACACGGAAAGCTTGTCTCATCCAGAGGGTGTTATTCTACAAGGCCGTGTTGTCCGTTGCAAAGTAACAGTATAAAAAATACTAACACATAATCACAAATAAAGACAAAATTATATACAAATACGAGATACAAAAAATGAAGCAAAAACCAAAAATTTTACATTTATTTAAAATATTCATTTTATATTTATATGAATATTTACATGCTCAGCGACGAGGGCGTATCCCCATACTGCGGTTTGGGTGCTGGCTTGGATTTTCTTTTTCTTTTATTTTCCAGTTACATCTGCTCACTTGTTCTGCGCATAGAGACTCTCATATTTTGCGCAATATAATGAATAACCTTTAACCTTTATACATATGTCTAGTTTAGTTATACACATTTTTACACCTTGAAGTGAGAGTAATGTACACTTAACCAAATTGAAATTTTTGAACTCTATGTGATATAAAAAAAAAATATTGTTGTGCCTCCGACCATAATATTTATCTTCCTTTTTTTCTAACATTATTTTCTTTTTTACAGAGCTTTTTCCAAGATCTGGGTAGCTGGCAAGATCGGCAGACAATTATGAATGAAACAGGAAATTTTTTGATTGAAACTTGTCAGGAGGAGGTTACAAAAAGCATCAAGAAGCAACTCTTGAGTGTGAATAGCAGGTGGAAACAGAGCTTCGAAGAAGGAAAAGTATGAAACATATGAAAAAATATTCTGATTGGTGGCACTATTTATTTATATGATTTTTATATATATATCGTACAGTTAAAATACCTCGATCAGACTGGATAGTGGGTGCCTCATTATCAAGCTAAAATTCCAAACATACAACTACAACATAAAATTATTATTATAATAATTATGTTATTCACAATAAATTTCCTATTAATGTTGGCCTATTAAACAATTTTGTGTATGCCAAAAGTGAAACAAAAATGGTCAGCCCTGCATAGTATTACATACTGGTCTTAAAGAAAATTTAAGATGATTACCAACACCACATTTGATTTGTATATTTTTAGGTGTACATGAAAAATGAAGAATCTGAAAGACAACAACGGGAATATGCAGCATATGTGAAAAATTTGCGTATTTGGTTGGATAAAAAAGAGAAAGAGACTCCAACAAGAGTTAACTGTATGTACCTACCTGCCAAAGAACATATACAGGATTTAGAGGTGAGATACTCGTCAAGGTGAGCTGTAACTCCTTATATAGGAACAATAAATAATCACCACCACCATTATTATTAGGTAGCACCATTTCATCATCACCACTGCCACTGACAC